TTTGGTGTAATTAAAACATAATCTACTTGCTAAAAACCGTTCTGTTCCACTGCATAGTAGTTTCTGAAGGCTCCACAATCAAAGAGTTCCATGTCACACTAGTTTAAGAAGAATGATGTACTGTGTCCTCTGTTATCCTCAGGTATTCTGTGAGGAAACAGATAGCAAAGAAACCTGTTTTACAACTCAGCTCTTTCCAACCTTGTCCAGACCACAGAACCAGTTGTTTCTTTATCTGGCTGGTTATAAAATCAACTTTGAGAAATTGCTGAAATTGGAGGATTAGGCAAACCTGAATTTATGAAAAATTGGGATGAACAGGAAATAGTTTTTATCCAAACATCATCATTCTTCATCTTTTTGGCAGGACTGGGTTTGGGCTTGGGACCTTGTACTCTGCTATACTCCTAGTCCTTTTACCTTCAGTTATTTTTCAGATAGAGTCTTACACTTTTGTCCAGGTCCAGCCTCCAGCCACAATCCTTCTACTCTATATGTCCTGAGTAGCAGGGTTTACAGATGTGTACCACACACCCAACTCATTTGTTGAGATGGGGATATCATTAACGTTTTTTAGGGACTGGCCTGGCTTCAAACTGTGATTCTCCCCATCTCTGTCTGCTGAGCAGCTAGGATTATAGATGTGAGCCACCATGCCTGACTCCACATCAATATTTTTAAAACAGATACATAATTTAAAACAAACTGCAAATACTTAATTTAAATCTGATACTATAAACCCTATTTTAAATTAAAATTTATCTCAATACAGTATTTACTAAAACCTTACTCTAATTTCCTTTTTTTTTTTTTTTTTTTGCTGACACTTTGCTATGCCAAGAAGTTATTTGCTATAAGAGTGGGAGTGATGGATTTGGAAGAATTGTTCTCTTTTAACCTTTCTATTGTACCACCAAAGTTGCCAAGATTGCCATCCTGAATAGGTCATAAGTAAAATGATTTTCTAAAGACTCTTTGTAGAATAATTTCCCTCAGTTACCTGCTGTAACCAAACATGTAATTCCTGAGCATAAAGGCTGACATTCCACAAGTATTTGGTGTGCCATTCCACAAGATGAAACCAATTAGCTCATACAGAATTGTTGCAGAGTGAAAGAACAGTCATGATCAAAATTAAAATGAGAGAGTCTTTTTTTTACATGGTATTAGCAAAAGTGGCTATTCTGTCTCTAAAACAGTTTCTTTTTTCATAGGTTAAAACTACTTCTGTAGTAGTGTTGGCTATCACATGCATTTTCCTTTATATAATGAAAAACAAAAGTCATTCTCCTTTGCTAGACAATATTTTTGGTTAATATATAAGTCTTGATGAAAGAAAAATAATACTTTCCAGTAGTGCTGTTATAAGTTTAGAGAATGAAATGCATGAGACTAGTAGCTCTGATATAGACAATATGCTCTATAATAGTTTAAAAAAAGAAGGAAATATGAGGGAAGAGAAAGGAAGGAAGGAAGGAAAGAAAGAAGGAAGAGGGAAGGTAAGGGGGAGCCAAAGAAAAGGGAAGGGGAAGGCAGGCAAAGAAGCTGGGAGGGGAAAATGTAGAAAACAGCAGAAGAGAATGAGGAAGAAAAAGAAAGGAGGAGGAAAAAGAAGGGAGAGAAGAAAGAAGAAGAGAAGGAGGAGGAGGAAAGAAGAAGAAGGAGGAAGAGGAGGAGAATAAAAAGAAAAGGCAATGAATGTTCCAGGGAAAGAAGAAGAGGAAGAAATAGCAGGAGGAGGAGAAGGAGGAGGAGAGGAAAAAAAAGAAAATAAGGCAGTAAGTGCTCTAGGAGATCAAACATGCTTTAGTACTGAAATTTAAACAATAAGCACTTCTGGAAACCAATATACAAATTGCTTATGTCTATATTAGTAGGTCAATGCTAAATCATTTCTACATGTACTTGTCTACCATTGTTTGTTGAGTCCGGCCTGGAATCCAGGCCTTACAGTGAAAGTTTTCTACCTTCCAACTTAATTCTCTAATATTGATTCAGTATTTTTAGTGACCTAAGCATTAAACTGACAACAAAAAGTGAAATTTGTCTATTTTCACCATCTATAAATATAATCATTGTACAATATATTATTTTAAACAGGATCAGCACACAGGGAGAATAAATTTAGGAGTAAAGGGAGAAAGGGCAGTGTGAAAGCCAAGATGATATGTTAAAGCTATTTTTGAGTGCTTTAGACATATTGTTACTACTCTCAAATGATGTAAAGAATATCTTTGCACAACTTGAAAGAGAAATTCAGTAAATCCTATTAAACAACACACACACCCCTTTTGACTGAGGGTTAATTCTATTAGAAGTTTGTCTCCATGCTTTTCAAAGCAGGCAATATTGCTTCTATAGTTTAAAAAATGATTTAAAAATTAATTGAGCCAGGTATAATGGTTCATGCCCATAATTCCAGCTATTCTGGAATTTTTAAGATTATGGAGGCTGAGGTATGACAATCACACTTCAATGCCAGCATAGGCAAATTAGTGAGACCCTTCCTCAAAATGAAAAAAATAAAAAGGAGCAGAGATGTAGCTCAGTAATAGAATTACTTGGTCTAGTGTGTGCATGGCCTGGGTTCAGTCCTCACTATGGCAAAAAGAAAAAATTGGCTGTTGGCTAGCTAAGTAAATGATGCTTTGTTCATGAAGTAGCATATTGTACATACATAGAAATGAGGCAAATCTATACATAACTGCAGGGAAGAAGTTCTAAGATGTGCTAAATGAAATAAACTAAGTGCAGAGGATCATCAGACGTGTTTTACCAACTGGGTAAATGTGTGTGTGTGTGTGTGTGTGTGTGTGTGTGTGTGTGTGTGTGTGTGTGTGTGTATACACTTGAGTATGTGCACATGAATATGTACTAGCTTTTATATTTTTAGAAGGTTTCTGTCAGGATTCCCTGGAAATAGTATCACTTACTGACTCTGAAGCATGAGAAAAGGCCCACTTCAGTGTCAGACACATTTACCTGATCCCATGTACTTTTGTGGTATTAACATGTTTGTCATATACGTATATCTGTTTCTTATTTTTAAGATCTAAATAATTTTAAGACTTTTACTAAGAAGAGAATTCCACAGTTTGAGACTGAAGACGGCTTTTATGTGTGTTGTTTAGAAAGGGAAAAGCAGTCTTTATACCTTGCAAACTCCTTAGCCAAGTCACTCCAGTTGCTTTGTCACATACACTTGGTAGATACAAGTCATACAAAGTCACCATTATCATGCTCTCCAGGGAGGGAAAAGCAGTCTCCCTCCATTGCAGTCTAAAAACAGACATGCAACAGTGTCATAATATAGAATGGAAGACCAGAGATCTGGCTAACTGCCCATTGTACTTAGGAATACTGCTCTAGCAATCTCACTGTAACTGTGAATATTTGAAGTGACTACCTAAAATTCTTTAAATTGAAGAGCATTCTGTATGTTAAAGATGCTTTAATGGGGGTCAGGCATGATGATGTATGCCTATAATCACAGCTAGTTGAGAGGCAGAGATGAGGAAGATTGCAGTTTGAGACCAAGCTGGACAAAATGTTATCAGCCCCTACCTTTTTTGAGGGGGAGAGAGCAGTACAGGAGTTTGAACTCATCTTCCCACTTGCCAAGCAGGTACTCTATGGCTTCATCTATGCCTCCAGATCTTTTTGTTTTGGTTATTTTGGAAAGAGTGCCTCACTTTTCCCCCAGGCTAGCCTGGACCACAATCCTATTTTATATTCTCACAGTTGCTGGGATGACAGGCATGCACCCCCATGCACAGCTTTTTCCCATTGAGATGGGAGTCCCATTTTTTTTTTTTTTTGCCCTGGCTGGCCTAGAACCTCATCTCAGGCTCCCAAAAGTATCTAGGATTACAGGCATGAGCCACTGGTACCTGGCTGCAAGAAGCCATCTTATCAAACAAGCTGGACCTGGTGGTTCATGCCTGTAGCCTAGCTACCCATGACACAGAGATAGGAGGATCATGGTCCAAGGCCAGCTCTGGGCAAAAACAACTGAAAAATAACTAAATCAAAGAGGTCTGGGGACTGGTTCAAGTGGTAGAGCATTTGCTTCGCAAGTGTGAGCCCCTCAGTTCAACCCCAGTACCACCCCTCCAAGAATGCTTTATAATTAAAAATGATCTTATAAATCTGCCTAGACTCACTATTTTCTTCATTTCAATAGATTCAAGAGTGAAAGAGAAATCACAGAAGTATAGAGTCATGTGGACCTGTGCGGCAAACAAAAAGTGAATAAATTCAGAGATTTTTTTTTTAAGTGTATCCGTATTGTTCAACAGGGTTCTACTTTGGCCAAACAGAATAGTTGCCAAAATCAAGTTTAAGCTGGAGTATGCATATATAGCTGAAAAGTTGTTCTGGGAAGGAAAGAAGTAGCTGAAAAGTTGTTCTGGGAAGGAAAGAAGAAGGGAGAGAGGGAAGGAGGGAGGAAGAGAGGGTGATGAAAAGAGAGGAGAAGGGAAGGGAAGGAAAGATAAAGGAGAAAAGAAGAGAAGAAATGAAAGAAGGAAAGGAAAAGAGAAAGAGAGAGAAAGGTAATTTGCCCCTGGAACTTAGTAACTAAGTTTAAAAGGACATTAGTTGAAATGAAAGGGAGTTGGCAACTGCTTTTCTGAGCTCCTGATTTCACTTCATTAAGTTACTCAAATTAGAATAAGTGAAAAATAGAATCGAACAATAGTGTTATTTTTCTCTCAACAGAATTGAAACAACTTAATAACTTTATCTTACTGTATGGACTAATTATAATTCTTAAATACAGGACCCAGCTCCAAGATAGTTAAAAGCTCCTACTGATAAATGTTTCGTAAAATAAAACACTGAGAAAAGGACAGTAATTTTCAATAGTTATAAGTGAAAAGCTGCCTCATTTTTATAAAATACATGTGCTTATGCTACAATTATGCCAAGGTGCAATCCATCCGTGTTTTAAGAACATTATTCCCAAGTCTTAATGGGCATTTCTTTTCCTTCTCCTGCAGAAAGCCAGGCTGGCCAGGATCCGGGCTGCCAAAAGTGGCAGTGCCAATGCTTACATGCAGAGCAAACGGAACGGGTTACTCAGCAACCAGCTGCAGGTATGGCCAAGCACCTGGCTTTTTTCATGATCAGTTTATTGGTGTAATATTGATTTAATTCTGCTTAGCCATATAATTTTATTGTGGGTTATTATGAAAATGGCTACTGAAACAACAAAAGTGTCATTTTTATAACTTTCCTCCTGTGCATTCTAGTTGGCTGTAGTGGGTTAGAGTCTATGCTATGAAATATGGCCAGTGAGTCATAACTCCTGTTCATGATCGGGGATCCCTGTGTTGTCCTCTATTAATACTGGAGAAGTAAAAAATGTTCAGTCATTGAAATGACTCGTTCTTTTCTGTTTCAAGACACTTATGCTCCTTAAAGGCCACTTTGGTGAGGTCTGGGGGCCTGACGTATCTCGTTTTTCTTTTTACTGCGGAGAGAGCGCCATTCAGAGTTAGGAATGCACACTGTCGAAATACGAATTGAGAACTTTTACCCCAAAACTAGTTTTCATATTTAGGATTCGATGTTCTTTCCTTAAAAATAGCTTCCATGTAGGTGAACATGGTGGATGCTGGCTTCAAGATTATCTAAGCGCGATGTTAAATGCAAAGACAATGGCTCCCGGGTTTACAAAGGTGGTTGGGCCTGAATGAGTAAGAGAGACTTTTTTAAATTTTCAATTCAAGAAAGCAGAGTCTAAAAGATCGGATCTCTAATTTGATGAATATACGACATGCTTGTCATTCCAACTTAAAAGCAACTTTACCGTTATCCTTTTTTAGTTAAAAATAATAATAATAAAAGGCTGCCAGTTAATCTCAGAAAATACTCCAGATCTCTCTGCGCAAATGTGTAGCTGAGGTTCTCATTGTTTGCAAGTGAAGTAGAAAGCATTTCTGCCTTCTCTCTGTTCGCAGTCCTCGGAGGATGAGCAGGCCTTTGTGAGCAAGTCTGGCTCCAGCTTTGAAACCCAGCACCACCACCTGCTTCACTGCTTGGAGAAAACCACGGTAGGGAGACCGCCACTACCTCTTTGTGCTCTACCAGAGGCTCCATTTGCTTTTGTGCACAAGTAAGGTTGCTGCATTACTGGAAAAGAGGCTGAAAACACGCAATATTTGATACCACTTTGAGACATTATAGTGACATTTCAACTTGGAATGAATTATATAGACTTCTTTAAGATGCTTTCATCCTCAGTGGTTATCTTAACTGTAGTCTAAGGTATCAGTTAAATGCAGATGAAAAGCTGTCTTCATGTAACTAATTCAATCAAATGTCATTTCTAGTCTGCTTTTAAAATCCTGATTTAGCAGAGCTTTGGTGGCTCATGCCTGTAATCCTAGCTACTCTGGAGGCAGATATCAGGAGGATCACAGTCCAAAGCCAGCCAGAGCAAATAGTTCTCCGATACCCTATCTTGGAAAAACCTTCACAAAAATAGGGCTGGTGGAGTGGCTCAAGGTGAAGGCCCTGAGTTTAAGTCCCAGTACCACAACAACAACAACAACAAAATCCTGATTTAAAAGGGAGAATAGTGAGGTTTCAAGCATTTCTGTCATCTGGATAAAGAGAATATCAATAACAATAATGACAGAGAGAGGGGGAGGAGAGAGAGAGAGAATGAATAATACAAAGTAAACATTTCTTTCATCCACAAGTGTAATAAATGGAGATGAAGAGTAAAAACTATTTGTTACGTCCCTGGGTGCTGAGGAGCAAGTCTACATCTCTTTAATTGCAAACTGTCAGTAGGAACTCCTCCAGAGCAAAGCCACCCAATTCCTTAACTGGCTGTCAACAGTTGGCACAGCCTGTGACCCAGAACAGAACAAAATTTTCACCATATTTGAATCAGGTCAGCTGACAACCTCACCAGAAACACATGTGTGTTGTCAATTTCAATATACTTCTATCACCTTACTTGCCTGATACGCACTTGATAGTAAGCCAGATCCAAGATACACTATGGATTCATATTGCCTCTGTCTCCAGCTAGCCTCCATTTATGGGAAAGTGGGCTAGAGTGGAGAGGGGCAAAGAGATCGGAACCATGAGGGAACAGGCACAGACTAGGCTTTCTGGGAGAACTTGAGACCTTCAGAGTGAGTAGGAGTTAGGCAAAGAAGTGAAGGAGTGAAAAGGTGATATGAGTACCCAAGGAAGGCAAGGACTTGGACTAAAGATAACAAAAAAAATTTTAGGGTGGCCAGAAAGAAAATGTACAATATGGCATAAAGAGGAGGCAGACAGTCAATGACCAGATTATGCTGCACTTTGGAAGCTCTTGAACAATCTCGATCTTTATCTTGATATAAATGGAAAATTATTTAAGACTTTTTAACAGGGTCATTGAATGATTATACTTGTATTTTAAATAAAGATATAGACAGGCCCATAATCTAATAAGATAACACTTTGAAAGTTAAATGATGGGTTAGTAATAGAATGATTTGTCCCTTTCTTTATATTTCTTTATATTTTCCTTTTTTACTATTTTATTATTAAGGAATTTTTGAGCCAAAAATTATTTTAAAACCAAAAAATGTATTTTAATTTGTGTTACCTAAAAATATATGGCAATCAATAACAAAATTATTTCTTTAATTCCATTCATTAGTGAGATAAATTAGAATCTTATGCATTATAATTTGTATTATGTGTGCGAAATGTGCATTATAGGAGGAGAAAACAGATTATGACTCCTTTGTGCACTATTTTTCTCTAAAATTTAATCTTTCACATGAGATTCTGTCTTATCTGGTCATATTCTGTGGACAGTAGAATGTTAAATTTCATGTATTTCAAAATTCTTCTATCAGTAAAGAAATGGCAAAATGAGTAGCTTAGTACAATGTATTTCCTATTAGCAGTGAATTGCTTCAATTGTTTTTACTAATATTTTAGGATGAGAGATGGCTAGGTAAAATTTAGTGGGTGCAAAGCCTTCCATTATAAATCTATTTCCATGCACACAAAAATAAAATAGTAATTGAAGTCATTCTCATTGTTTTCCCTTACAATTCTGAAGTAAAATTCTTACATAGGCATTTTAGGAAGCAATTCTTTATTAAACATTTGTAAAGTAAAATTTATACTGTGCTTCTATAAAATATGAGAAATGATGCCCTTTAGTGTTTGCCTCTAGGCTGGAAATTAGGAAGATAAAGGTGGAAGAACTGTCAGTACAAATAGAGATCACGACACATCTAGTGATGTGTCACAAGAGAAGAAGGGAGATCACGACACATCTAGTGATGTGTCACAAGAGAAGAAGGGAGGCCACCAAAGTTGGATGCTAATCCCTTCTAAGTCAAGTGTAGTGACACATTTTGCAGCTAAATATATTTTACTTACTTAATTAATGTAATATTTTTCTATATATTGAGAATTTTAGATAACCAAATAAGGAAATAGAAAGTGTCTGAGGTATCTCATTTTCTAATTCAGAAAGTTTCAATCTCAGATGAAGGAATTTGTATATAACACACAACCTAACTTGGGACATTCTATTAAAATAGTCTGTTTTCATAACTTCAATCTGTTTAAAAAATAAAGTCAATGTGAATTTGTCCGTACTTTTTTGTAAGGGTGTTTTTTCTTTGCTTTATAATTTCCTGATTTCATGTGTAAATTAATGTGATATTTCAAAAAATTACTCTGTAAATGAACACTGAGTCAGTCTTCATTATTTTAATCTCTAGAGTTAACTAAAGAGTTTTTATTTCCACACAAATGCCAAAAAGTGATTGGGATGATTTAATCTTTATGAAAATAGTTTTATTTACCTACTGGATCACGTTTAAATGCATATGGATATATTTAGTTTTAATGATATATCTATTTATTCCCCTTTTTAAATTAAAAAACATTTTTCTGCTTTCATCACATATTCTTCCAACTACAAAACAGAATCATGAATTTGTGGATGAACAAGTTTTCGAAGAAAGCTGCATGGAAGTTGCAACTGTCAATCGTCCTTCAAGTCACAGTCCCTCGCTCTCTTCACAAGGAGTCACCAGCACTTGCTGTTCACGACGACACAAAAAAAGTTTCCGCATCCCAAATGCCAATGTTTCAGGAAGTCATCGAGGCAGTGTGCAAGAACTCAGTACAATTCAGATCAGATGTGTGGAGAGAGCACCGCTTTCTAACAGGTACCAAAAATTGATCTGTGTCACTTGTGCTGGGTCACAGACCATGTCCCCTGCAATCATGTTGCAACCTGTGTGCCTCCTAAATCCTAGTCCCTATGGTAGAGAAAGAGACAGAAAAGATACTGCAACAAGTATGAAAATGGATATATTGGCATATCCACTGTGGCTGAAAGGTAGCAATTATATCAGCACTAAGAGCAGAAAGGAAAAAAGATGATTAGGCACACACAAATGTTTTTTTATCTCTTCACAACTTCTTATTTGAGCAAGGGCCTCGATACTCAGGAGCCCTTATGTAAAGTTCAATAGACTGAAATGACAGTCAACAGTACTAAAAGAGACAAATGAAATTGACATTATGTGATTGAAAATTATTCATCAGTGCCTAAAAATCAACACATTCAATGTAAGAATGAAAATTAAAACTATGCCTGCACAAATCCTTTTTATCATTTTATAATTTTGATCAATCTATAGTTTTATCAATCTGTAATGTTGATCATAAAAGTATTTGGCTATATAAAACACAAAAAACTATCCAATTCAAAAAATATATATGAGATATTAAAAGTGTTTACCTCATTATAACTTATGGAAAACTTATGTAAAACTTTTACAATGATAATTTCCTTTTGTCTTTAATTATTTACTTTTTCTTAACACAAACATACATTTATAAACTAGGCAAGTCATTAAAAAGATCAATTTCTGCTAAATTTTTTTTTATTTCATTCTTCAATTTGAATAGCATATATTCTCAAATTGACATTTATAAATTCAGTCCTACTTCTTTGTTGGAATTCAACAATCCTTATTGAAAACCTGGATGAGATTCTGAATTCAGGCTTCGTTGATTTATAAAAACTAAACATAACGGGGACCAGAATGTTAAAACCTAGAGATACTTAAAGATATTTTACCTCTGCATTGTTTTACAACCATTACAAAATGAAGTAGAAAATGAAAGAAAGTAGAAATTGGAAGAAAATCTTAAGACAAAAATATTTTATTTGTTTCACAAAAATAGTTTTAATCTGCTATTGATACCTTTCTTGCTCTTTTCCTCTACTCTTCCACAAACAGAGTCTAAAATTTATGTTAAGAATGTCACTTGGGGGCCAGGCATGGTGGTGTGCCTCTGTAATTCCTGCTACTTGAGAGGCAGAGGTAGGAAGACCTTGGTTCAAGGTTAGTCTAGGCAAAAACAGAAGACTATCTGAAAAACAAAAGTAGTAGGGGTGTGACACAAGTGATAGAGTAACTTGTAAGCAGGAGGCTCTGAGTTCAGTCTTCAGTACTTCATGAATGCCACTTGGGACAACCTAGAGGTTTTTATATAGCAGTGCCTAACTTTTTAGGGCTGTTCACATGTGGCCATCACTAAGTTGGGAGCTTTGAGGCCATTCTCTATTTTCTAAAAAGCCATAATTATGAAGATTCTGTGATCAAAATAATTGAGAAACCCACATGATATGACTCTTTCATAATGGTATCTCAGTCCTCTCAACATTCCTGCCTTAAAGAAAACTGGTCAACTCAGACGGTCCAAATATTACTAGATCTTCATTCTCTGTTGCATTTGTATAGACTACACTTTATTTGAGAAATTATTGAGCCAAATTGAGCTAGATTTTGGAAATATACTTAAATGAACTGACTGATGTTCAAGGTAACATACATTTAAGTTTTGGAGTTTCATTTTTTAAAATAATATTTAAAGTGTTACTTATGAGCATTAAAATATACATTCTTTGGCTACATGAGAAAATTTTAGGTTAACAATTTTCTTTCTTTAATCTATTTTTTTTCTCATTAGCCGATCCAGCTTAAATGCCAAAATGGAAGAGTGTGTCAAACTAAACTGTGAACAACCATATGTGACTACAGCAATAATAAGCATCCCAACACCTCCAGTAACCACACCAGAAGGCGATGACAGGCCAGAATCTCCTGAGTACGCAGGAGGAAATATTGTCAGAGTGTCTGCTTTGTAAGACAATTGGAATAGTTTTAAGAGCATTTGAGCCCTGGCTATGGAAAGAATCTCAATGTAGAAGAAAGAAAAAACAATAAACCTTCTGCAGATTGAGAAAGCAAAGCAAGAAGGTTGGTAATGAAAAAAAAAATTAAAACTTCCAGACTTGAGGATGTGAATAAAACCACCAAATGGCATTTCTAGACAGTTTGACCTGTAAACAGAGGGATATTCTGTGGCCCTTTGACTTTGTGAATGAGCACAATGAAATGCCGTCTACTGATGCTTATGATCAGAACTCTTTTTTAATAAAAAAATAAAATAAATCTTTGAACATAATGTTCCAGTTGAATGCAAAACAAAAAATATGGAAAACATTTTGATAAAAATTTTTCCTGTTAAAACCATGAACATTGGCTGTGATGAAGATTATTACATATGAAAAAAACTCAAATGACCCATTTGTATTGACTGGAGGAAACCATCCTAATGCATGCTAGAATTCTTTGGAGCAGTGATCTCAGTTTCCTTATGTTGTCTTCAGACTAGGCATGATAAATTATAAATGTAGAAGGGGGAAATTTCTGTGCACTTACAAGCTGATTGTTCCTGTTCCATGGTGGGGTGTGCAAATAAACTCCTTTTAGAACTGCAGTATTTCTCATGGGGATACTCATAAATAACTCTAAAGTGTTCAGATAGTTCAGTATTAGTTATCATTTCACCTTGCACTTAGTCACTGTTACAACTGCAATAATTCATTGTACACTTGTCATATCAGGATTCAAAATTTTTTTTGTTGGACTTTCCAGACCTTCATAGATACAATAAGACCCACATTATAGGCAAACTTCTAGTGTGGCCAGGTTTTAGGTGACATTTTAATCCAGAACTATTGTGTCATTGACGTTCTTCAGTATTATTCTTTTGTCTACTGTATTTCTGTGTTCCTGTATTTTTATGGCACCTTTCTATTGGGTTTATCATCATCAAGGGGACTAGCGTTTACTGTAGTTCAAATAACTTTCCCACTTTTGTATTCCCCAACAAGTTATCTTGTAAGTAGCTTGTCATCAATCCCCTTGTCAAAAACTAGAGAAAAGGAGTTGACACCTATGAAATATCTTTGCTGGTTATGGAAAAGCCCAGACACTGGAAATATCAGTGTGTGTTTCAGGAAAAGAGTTGACTGGGACTAAAATCACAGGATCATTGATCTCAGAATCTTGCTTGATGTATTATTTATTTTGTTTTAGATCTTGAATACATTTTGAGAATAACTAATGTGAATTGAGATGCAGAGATAAACTGGAGTGCTTCATGTAGCAATATTTGATGAAAGCATGCTTTCAACGCCATTCAGGAAGGCAGCACCAATTCATCTCAGACAATTTCTTGTGTGTTGCAAGGTGCAATGTTCTCCACTAAATCTGGAGAATAGGAGTTTGATGATGCAAACTTGACCTCTGTGTACACTTAAGTGAAAAGTCTTTATATCTTTTCACCCTTAAACTATATCAGCAGACATTTCTGCACGTGACAGTGTAAAAAAAGTTCTATGTCAAATAAAAAGTTTTGTTCATTCAAAGCCATCACTGTAAGGAAGGAAGCTTAGTTTCTGTAGAAAGAAAGAGTTAGTAATTATCTCTCTAATACAGAGATTTTAAAATGCTTATCCTAACTTATCATAAGAAGGAATTAATCCAACCATTTTCAAGTAAATCCAGAAATTCTTGCTTCCCATTTCTAGAATAGCCTCCAGAACAGTGCTATGCACACAGTAGACCTTACTAAACATTTGCTGAGTAAAAGTAAAATAAACTCAGCTGTGTCTTGGGAAGAACTGGCTTTATTCCTAGTGTATCTTCTAAAAAGTTACTAATATTCCAGGACGTGAATATTAACAATTATATTAACATCTGCCTCTTGTCACTTTATGCTTCTCGTAGAGCAAATATATAGTGAAACCTCTTTGATGGCATTTACTGAAAATCTTTTCTAAAAGTAGGCTAAGGAAACTACAACCAGGAATAATTAACACCTTTTGATTCCCAATAAGAGGTTCTATTTTCATGTTCTTAATATTGCATAAAAGAAAGTGCATTTAGGTTATTTTGTTTGACAGTTCTGCCACCTGCTTTGACTTATCATTTATCCAAAATTATTAATTTCTTTAGACTTTTGGAGAAGAAAAAAAACTTTTTGATGTTTTAGGTGATTTAAAAATACACTGTGTTGGTGGTGAATGACTATTGATGACTGTGTTAAGTGCATCTGTATTGTAAGTGAAATGTAATTATTTCTGTGTATCATATGGAGTAACTAAGGTCATTGTTATTTGACAATTTTGTTTGAAATTCATGTATCTTATTTCAAAGGATAGCATAATATCTGCATTATGCTGGAAAAAATAGACCTTTGGAGAATACTTAAATAAAACATGTGCATGCTTGAACAGGACAATGTGTTTGCTGCCTTTTTTTCTTACACTTCATTCCTTCCCAAACACTATGTGTCAATCTCATAATACATATCTGAGAGAACCCTGTAACCCATACAGACACAAAGAACGCAACTCTTAAGCCCAATCTGTCAGCAGTGGGAAGTTAGAAAGAGACTTCAACAGAAAGTTAGTATCATTTAAATAAGGACATTAGTAATATTATATAAGTATAACTTATACACAGCTTAACTACCATTACGTGCTTCAAGCAAAGAAAAACCCTGAAGTAATAGCTTCAGTCAACTCAATTAAATTCTTAATTCAAGGACCTTTTCTATGTAGGAAAGTAGGGTGATTTATTTGTCTGGTGATATCTGTGTGGAGAGATAAACAGATGAAAGAATGAAAGGAAACAGAGAAAAAAAGAAAGATTCATACATACATAGATAGGACTTTATTCATTTTTTAAAATATGCCCATACTAATAGTTTCTCTTCAGTATCCTAGAGTGGACAAAAAGGAAGAAAATGTTAAGCATGTGCTTAAAGAAAGAAAAATGACAAAGTAAATCACTTAGTTCACAAACTGATTTTCACTGGTGCTGCATGTGCTCCTATTGGTGCATAGTCTGTATAGTTTCTTATTGCTTTCCTTTATAGCCTTTGATTTATTGAGGTATTGATCTCACATTTAGAAGGTTCAATACACCTCTCTGTTCCTGCATCTTAGTCACATTGGCTTGGAAATAGCCTCTGGGGAGTTATATTAACGCCTGCCAGCAACATTACTCAAAAGAATAAAAGAGGTTCTTGATATCAAATAGACGACTCCTTAGAATCTCATAAGAAAGGCATCTCCTTTTCTCTAGGGAGTTATTAAGGTGTTTGTTTTATTAACTCACAGGTACAAAAATGGTTATTGCCCTGTGTAAACTTCATCAGAGTTTTTAACACAATTTGTAATTATACCATATTTTTAATGAGGGTTTAAATTGTTTATGTCCAAGTTAGTTACATTTAGGAGAGTAAAACTTTCTCCAAACAGTTTTTTACTTCTAAGGAATTATTTTTAACAGAAAACTTGCTTAAGACAATTATAAAATGTATTTATTGCAAAGGTTTTTAACTGAAAATTACATTAAATTCATACCTTATAATCTTTTGCTTTTTTCTGCACACCTTTCCTTTTCCCTCTTTTCAAGAACTAATTATTGGTTGAGCATTCTCCTCTTTCCCTAGTCATTTTCTTCTCTGGTTTTTCTATGGAAATCCATTAAATAACCACTAGTCATTGTACATATAACTCAATGTATAGGATCCATATGATGGGCTAGACATTGTATTAGGTGTTAGAGAAAGAGAGATTAAGATGCTCGATCAAATCTCCTTAAGGAATTGTTTAGAAGAAACAATTCCTTTCTGCCATATTGCAGGCACTTTTCTGATCAATCGCTTAAGACATCTCTTCAGTAGATGCTAGAGTGTTCCCTAAAGCACTTCCTACAATCTTCCCATTGTGCCACTAACATCCTCTTTTTGTAGGCAATGGTTCTCTTTCTACTGGGGGGACGGGGAAGTCAACATATGAATTCATATATGCTTGGAGAAAAAAAAAAGGATACAAGATAGAACAAAACAAAGATGGGGACAGAACATCATGTTTATAGTGTGATCATGTTTCTTAAAACAAAAACAAAAACAAAAGCCCTACTATTTCCCCAAGTATCTACTGCACCATAGTCTCAAAGAATCTACCATAATCTCAGAGAGTGTGAAGGAAGATGCTAAAAATAGTTTTGTAGCAGGAGCAGCAATGCTGCTGTGAACTCTAACTCCCCTCCTTAGGTTACTTCATCTAACTAATCCTATTGAAATATCAGAGAACAGTACATCTAAAAAAGGTGAGTTTGTTTTTTTTGTCAAGGCGCTCACAAAAAAAGGTGGGTTTAAGGAGCTATGTCAATTCCAAAGCATGGGAATGGCTGAAGGAGGGTATTGAATTGGGTAGTTATCAAACATTTAGAGAGAGATTTGGAGGAACACTGGAGAGCTACAAAGTGGTAGTGAGGTATCTTTGGGTTTGATTCTAAATAACAACACAGAATTTTAAATTTTGGTTTAAATGTATTTGATTGCTTTATTAAAATATAAATTCTAACACCAGAGCTATCTTACCCTGTTGAGAGTTTTTGATAATTATGCACTGATAAACTGCTTAGATTTCTCTCAGACTCACTTCATCATAGTGAAGAGGCCCCTAAAACAGGAAAATAAGGAACTAACAATTGCAAAACAGAGTTGAAAGAATCAAAGTTGAGTGGAACTTGAGCTGGGTACATAAATCTGTCAGATTTCCTACTTTCTTGGAGAACTAGATAATATAAAAAAAGTAAAATATGTACATCACAAATTTTACATAATACTCAATCTGACTTAAAATACTTTTATCAACAGCCAACCTGGGTTGTAAACCATTGTACAAACCATAGGAGCAAAATCATAATGCACCCTTTTCAATATGCAGTTTGTTTGACAGATTCACAGTAAGCACTAAATAATGGTGATTATCATACCGTCAAAGGTAAAAACGATGATAATGACTGCTAACTTCGTTGAGTTTGAAATATATTCCAGACACTGCAATAAACACTTTCCGTGTACTATTGGCTAATTGCATTAACCAATTTTCTGTGGAGAAAACTAATACTGAAAACAATGAGTCCAAATTCTCTTAATTTAGATAATATAACATATTAAATTAAATCATGTATTTCTGTGATAAGAGTCTTACCATGTAGAAATGTGATGCTATTGCTTCTTTTAAACTGAAAAAAAATTAAAGAAAATGGTGGGGGACATGGATTAATACCTGATTATAGCCATGCGCTAGTGGTTGTAATGTCATTATTAAAGATGATTAATTTTCCTTCCCATTTTCTTTGATCCAATTTTTTCCTTATCTTGAAAAGTGTGCTGTTAATAACTGCTTCTTGATTGACTATTGGTAAATTAAAGTAAAATGGAAAACACTAGGAAATATATAGCTGTCTTAATTGATAAAGATTTTCCAACTCAGTATCAGTAAAAGGTGTACATTGAGTTAATTCCCGGTAGCAGAAAGAATTAAGTCTTAGAGCATCTACCATCTCTCACTTGCCTGCTTTTTTGAACAAAGCCTGTCAAACTTTCAAACTTGTTGATCATAGCTGTAGTTATAGCCTGTGGAATCTAACTGGCCCAAAGTCCATGTCCTAGAGGCTAATTTGAAAGGAATAGAAATATTTTGGAATTGGTGTCAATAACCACAATTCTCACTTTTCATTATCTTTTGTATTTTCCTGAATTTTTGTAGGAAACATTGCAGAGAATGACAGCAAAATGCCTTTTGGCATTTAATACCATGTGTAGAATAAGGTCCTGAGAGATTCAGATTGGCAAAATAACTGCATAATTCAGTATCCCCAAATAATATGCAATTAAAATTATTCCCAAATTTTCCCATCTTCACAAAAACTTCCAATTTTTTTCTGTAGGTCATTCCTATTTTTATTTGTCCCAAATAAAATAAAATCCACTAAAGGTGTAAACACAGATATTTGATTTATATAGAACTGTAGAAAATTTAATGTACCTTTTAAAATGGTACTTGGGATATAACTACTTGCCATAAAACTTTTTCTTAGGGTTTCATCATTTCCTTTTTTATGCTCCAAAATAACACTGGCCGATTAATATTATCTCTTTAACTTTTTTACCCTTCTGTTACTAGTATGCAAATGGTAAATGCATCAATGATATTGTGTCCAAAATTTCTTTTACATGAAAAACTCAGATGCAATATTTATTAAGAAGATGTGCATGAGAGAATCAATCCTGATATCTATAAGTTATAGACATTTGATACAAAAATTATAATTTTATAAAATTATAAAATATACTATAAAATAATGAAACATCTTCAAAGTGTCACACAGGAAGGTAAATACTGTTTTTTCACATCTTCATTTTTTTCTAACTGGAAGTACACAGCATGTAAGTCCTAATATAAATCACAGTACACTCGCTATGAAAAGGAGGCATAGAGATAGATAGGTAGGTAGATAGATAGATAGATAGATGGATAGAGATGTAATAACTACCCGGTCTACAATGAAATACACTTATTCATTCAAATGTGCAAAAGGAAATGGAGGCATGAGTGACTAGAACAAGTGGAAACAATTTATCTTTTGGAGACAGAGAGTTTGGAATGCATTCAACATCATATTAGTTTCTCCGACTGGCAGAATTTCAGAATTTATCAGACCTAGAATTCAGTTCATTCTGTGGATTTAGTTAGATTTTTGATGCAATTATTTACTATTAGCTATAGACATGAATTTTGTAGGATTATCTATAATTAATTCAAGGCATCTCCCCCCTTACCTACATCATCAAATTATAGTATCTCAACTTGAATGCTAAAATGGTTATAATAAAGTCAAGTTAGTAGACTAAGATTAAGTCCATATGTCAAATGTGGCACTACCCTCAGTTTCTGAAGCTGAGTGTCTCTGATTCTGACTGAATATTTCTATAATTATTCTTAACTTTAGTCAAAATTTAATACAAACGAACTTTAGAATGATTACTGTTTACTTCCAATAAGTTTTTCTTCTCTTTATTTTCTCATAACTAACAAAAAATCATATTCAATGCCCAAAATGTACCATAAAAACTCAGCCTCAACAAATGGTTTTACACAATATAAATGAACACTAAACAAAGAAGCTAATTTAAGCATCCATTGTGCTCCTTGCAATAAAAACACAAAAAGTAACATATAAATATATTAGCTCTTTGGGAATTTCTTGTAGCTACATTTCTATTTTAATCACATATTTCCACACAATTTATATAGATGTTCTGTTATAAAGTCTCTTTCATGTCTTAAGTGTAATTTAGAAAGTCTAACCTTAAAGGAAAATGTGAATACACTTGCATGCAGATGCACACGTCAGGACATACTCGCAAACCACA